AGGAAGGAAGGAAGGAAGGAAGGAAGGAAGGAAGGAAGGGAGAGAGAGAGAGAAATCACTGTGATATATAAGCACACAGTATATAATGTGCATTACAACCTCTAACTCCAACAAGTTCTTGTGGTAATGAGTGACAATCCATATATCTTGCAAGGAATATAGGAGGCATTTAAATATATTGTTGCAATCATTGTTTGTAAAATTGCTCCCAGATTTATTTAAATCCTTTAAATACTTTGCTTACAGTGGACACCTAGGCACTGTTTATTTATTCATTCCACAAACTCTTGAGCATCTAGTGTATGCTAGAATCTGTAATAAGCCCCAGAGAGGCAAAGGAATCCTATAAGAATAAGTGGTCCCTGCCCTTGAGAATTTTACAGTTTCAGCTACTGTTCCTTAGGGAGAGGCCCAGAGAGCCCCCAGGTGAGAGTCCCTCCAGTCTTGTGTCTGGGAATCAGCGTAGTCCACTTCACTTATGATGTCTTTGTTAACTCCACATAACCCAGTTATGGCTGGTGACTCTAGGAATGCTATGAACCAGGACATGGAGATTGGAGTCACCCCCTGGGACCCCAAGAAGATTCCCAAACAGGCCCGTGATTATATCCCCATCGCCACAGACCGCACCCGTCTGCTGGCAGAAGGCAAGAAGCCCCGGCAGCGCTATATGGAGAAGAGCGGCAAGTGCAATGTGCACCACGGCAACGTCCAGGAAACCTACCGGTACCTGAGCGACCTCTTTACCACCCTGGTGGACCTCAAATGGCGCTTCAATCTGCTCGTCTTCACCATGGTCTACACCATCACATGGTTGTTCTTTGGTTTCATCTGGTGGCTCATTGCTTATATCCGGGGTGATCTGGACCATGTAGGTGACCAGGAGTGGATCCCTTGTGTTGAAAACCTCAGCGGTTTTGTGTCTGCTTTCCTGTTCTCCATTGAGACTGAAACGACCATCGGGTACGGCTTCCGAGTCATCACGGAGAAGTGTCCAGAGGGGATCATACTCCTCCTGGTGCAGGCCATCCTGGGCTCCATCGTCAATGCCTTCATGGTGGGCTGCATGTTTGTCAAGATCAGCCAGCCAAAGAAGAGAGCCGAGACCCTCATGTTTTCCAACAACGCGGTTATCTCCATGCGGGACGAGAAGCTGTGCCTCATGTTCCGAGTGGGGGACCTCCGCAACTCCCACATTGTGGAGGCCTCCATCCGCGCCAAGCTTATCAAGTCACGCCAGACCAAAGAGGGGGAGTTCATCCCCCTGAACCAGACTGACATCAACGTGGGCTTCGACACTGGCGATGACCGTCTCTTCCTGGTGTCTCCACTCATCATCTCACATGAGATCAATGAGAAGAGCCCTTTTTGGGAGATGTCTCGGGCTCAGCTGGATCAGGAAGAGTTTGAAGTCGTGGTCATTCTAGAAGGGATGGTGGAAGCAACAGGTAAGACATTTCTCCCTCCTTGGCCACATAATCCTCTTACCTTCCCTGGAGCTTAGACCACTGTGACTCCAGAAGGTGAAAGTGTGTATGTGAGAATCCTGAGCTTGCACAGTCAGTATGTGCAAGTAACAATGTCACAGTAACAATGACCTGAGGGGCATTGTTACTCAAGATGGAATACTAACAATAGCTGGTGTTGATCAATCCCCCCCAACTTCCAGGCATGATTCTAGACTCTGAACAAATATTATATTATTCGGTTCCCTCCCATACTCCTGTTAGGTAGTTTTCATTAAGGTACAGGTATAGAAACAGAGGCACAGACACAGCAAGCACTACCAAATCATAGAGACAGGACACATCTCAAGCCAGAGGACCCCAGAACTGGCAGTTGTTTCCAACAAGCAAAAGTGATATTGACTGGGAGTGACACCAAGGCAAGCTGGGTTTTCTAGAGTGCCTTTTCATGCCTTACCATGGGTACATACTGTTGTAAGGGCAAATGAGGCAAGGCATCAAAATTAGCAGGAAACAGTTTTATTTGGCTGCAGCCAGGTTCAGAGGGCACAGCTTTTGCTGTAATCAATCAATTCCCTGCACCTGAGTTCAGGTAGTTTCAAAAAAATTTTATACCCAGCATGCAAGGGGAGGGGCTCAGAAGTTCACAGTCTGAAGAAGTTCACATAAAAACAGCTTTTTCTTTCACTGTTTTGGGCAAGTTAACCCTTCAAGGACAACACCTGAGAAGAGGAGAGCTTCTTTTCCCCCCTTTTTTTCCTCCCCCTGCCAATTGTTACCATGGAGCCTAGTTGGTAACTTATCTCAAAAATATAGACATCTCTATGAAGCCCAGATCAAGGCCAGAGGCCTTGTTTGCACATTTCTACAAACTACTATACCGGATATGTTTGTGAAAAACTAGTAAGGAGGTGTCCAGCACCTGGAGTGTTGATATCTTTTCAGCCAGTGGCCAAGTAAAACAGGGCCACACAAAAATAGAAAGTTTATCTACATTGAACTCTTTTGCAGAGACTCTTTTGCTGACAGTCCTAAAATCAGCCATGGGAAAGATTTCTGGAGAAGCCCAGTTAAGATTTTTTTGTGGAGAAAGGGGGTGTCACTTCAATACTGTGAGTCACATCACCAGGAGAGGATAATATGCAGCATCTCTTAAGCTGAAGCAGATTCACTTTTCTTTAGAGATACTTATGCCCCAGACCTGGGGGAGCCCCTCTCTGAATCAGTGCCTTTCAGCTTTCCTCCAGGAGGTTGGTTCTGTGGACCCCAAAGCATGCGGGGCTCCTTCCATGCAGAACACAGCACATCTATGCTGAGGCATCAACATTCACATAGGTCCAAGATGATGCCCTCTATGGCCTGCTTGGCTACCAACTCTCAGAGCTGACAGTGGAGAGCCTCCATATTCCTTAGCCATGCAGCTATGGTAGATTTCTTAGAGGTAGCTCCAGAGAGCCCAATGTCTAAGGGAGCCTGAGCTCTGGCTAAGGACCACAGACCCCAGTCCTCCCCACTCTAGGGACCAGAATTCCCAGGGAGGGGAGCCCCCAGAAAAATCCTGAACCTTGCTTCTTATTTCCATTTCTTCCTTTTTTTCCACCAACTAGACTGAGCATAGCCCAGACCCTAATGATGACATAGAAAACTCTTTCATGCTCAAAATGATCACATGGAATTTTTCCCCCACCCCAATTCTTATAAACAATAGTGTAGGGCTAGCTTCCACCCCATTTCACAGATGTGGTTGCTTAAGCTTAAAAGGATCATGTAGACAATAAATGTTCCTGCTTAGGCATTTCACTTATAAATCTAGAGCTTTTTCTATCACACCACACTGGTCTCCTAAAATGTTCAGGGCCTGTCACAAGGGAAGCTGAATGCTGGGTGGGGGACTCAAACAGGGCCTCCTAAGCCTTCCATTTCCAGGCAGGAGGGTACTAACAGGCCCTAGGGACTGGTGCCAAAGGGGACTTCTTGGCTATCTGCTGGGGATCAGAACCTGGCCAGGCAGCATATGGTGACAGCCACAGAAGCCCCTGGAGCAGAGATGCAGAGAGCTGCTCCTGCAGAGCCAGGGGTTTGCAGGTCACACTGCCTTTGGTGATAGGGTCAGGATCAGAACACAGGCTTGGTTTCTGGGGCAAGAGCTCCTCTCCAAAGTCACAAAAGAGGGATCAGGTGAGAGGCCTTGGGGAAGACAAGAAAACCATGCTTTACCAGTATCTGCAGCTGCCTTCACCACTGTATCAGGGAGGGCACAAGGGCCACTGACAGCAGAGCGGGTGCAGGCCCTGCCCAGCTGCGTCCTCCCCTCACATTGCCCTCAAAACCAGTGGCCCACATTGACTTGCCCTAACCCTTTGGCCTTCTCCCATAATCTGGCTACGCTTGCTCTATTGGGACTGTAGGGAAGACCCAGGGAGCTCAGAGAAGGGGACCCCCACACTCATTTCTGTTCTGATCTGAAGACAACTGGAATGGTTTGCCACACTCATGGAGTCAAGCATAGGCATGAATTCAGGCCTAGGTTTGGGTAGCACAGCTCAGCCATAGCCCACTTGTGTGAGTTTGGAAAGTTGTTTGACTTGTCAACAAAATGAGGACAATTAATCTCACTGGATCCTTGGGAGGATTAAATGACTACATGGAGCACCGCAGGTAAAGCACAGTGCCAGACACTGAGGGTCCTTTTAAATACATTGAAAGGTGACAGAACCACATAATCTAGGGGACACAGGCAGCATCTCTAACTTCAGGGCAGCCAATGCCACATCCCTAGAGGAGAGACAGGAGGAGGGCAGGAAAAGCCCAAGGGTCCTGTCACATGAGCTACTGTGGAGGTCTTGTCACAGTGTCATTCCCAAGGCCCTGGGAGCCTGCAACATCTAGCCCAGGACTAGGATAGTCAGTGCCCAGTTGGGCATCTACACCTCTGCTGAAACCAAGTTGTGGGCAACAAGAGATGTGGACTGAATGGAGAGACCCGGCCCAGGCTGTTGCCACTGAGGACAGAGAGTAGGCTAAAACCTAGCCATATATGGGGGCTCCCTGGGGGATCCAGGCAGAGTATATTTGGGTGGGATGAAGCCTTTGGCTGTGGGGAACTGGAGAAGGCTTTTCCTTCAGTGCCCAAAGAGCTCAAGCTAGTGCCTTCCTGGGCCAGAAGATGGAAATGAAAGCTGCTTTCCTGTGCCCCTAAGCACAGAGGCTTGTCATCCATAAACAAAGCTGCCCTCCTCCTCTGGAAAGAAAGCAACACCTAAAAATAACAGAGGCATGGCAAGGGCTGCATAGAAGGGGAGCAGGGGCATTGGAGCATCCTCAGATCAAGAAGCCAAGCCCTGAGTGCATGTGTGTCTCTCCCCTTCCTGTGTGTGTATGCGTGCTCATGCGTGTCTGTGTGTAATGTGCTTGTGTGTGTGTGTGTGTGTGTGCACATGTGGTTATGCCTGTGTGCATGAGTGTGTAGGCTTCTATTCATATGTGTCTATGTGAAGTAATCCCCATATGTTCTAAATGTCTGTCACTTTCTCTGTGTTCCCTCATTCTGTATTTATCTTTATTCAATCCTTTTTTTCTGCTTCTTATCCTGTCTCAATCTTCTAGACCTGAATGCTGTTATCAGAAGCCATGTTATGGCCTCAGTTATACAAAAAAATTATTCAGTCTTGTGTCTGGGAATGTGCTCCAGAGTTTTGCATGTTTATTTCTAGTGTTTTGTCCCCACCATATCTTGATTTCCTCCAGGACAAGGACTATGTCTAATTGAGATTGACACCTCTATATGTTTAGCATAAAGCAGATGTATAAGAAATGCTTGATGGATGATTGGATGGACAGAGATGAATGAATTGGATGGATTGATGGATCGATGGCTTAATAAGTCATTGCATGTTAATATGTATGCCTTCTCTTTTCCCAGGCATGACTTGCCAAGCACGAAGCTCTTACATGGATACAGAGGTGCTCTGGGGCCATCGATTCACACCAGTCCTCACTTTGGAAAAGGGCTTCTATGAGGTGGACTACAACACCTTCCATGACACCTATGAGACCAACACACCCAGCTGCTGTGCCAAAGAACTGGCAGAAATGAAACGGGAAGGCCGGCTCCATCAGTACCTCCCTAGCCCTCCCCTAGTGGGGGGCCATGCTGAGACAGGGGAGGATGTGGAGGCTGAGCAGGAAGAAGAGGACAAGCCTGTTGGGCTGAGTGTGTTCCAGGAGATCAGGGGCTCAGTGTGAAGGCTGTACTCTCCCCCACAGTCTCCCCTCACCAGCTTCCATGAGCACAGGTGTTTCAGAGCTCTGGAGGGCAGATAGAGAGGACTGGCTGAGTGTGCTGTAGGGAAGCTTAGCTGTGGGAGGGAACAGTGTTTCCAGCTCTCACATCTCCCCACTCAAGGCCTCCCTGAGTGAGTGGCCTCCTGCCTAGGCCCCATGAACAGTGATGCTTCTTCTCTCATTGCTTCTGTCAATACCAAGTGCCAAGCCCAAATGGCTTTCCCCACAGTGAAAGTTACAGAATGGCATCTGTCCTCTCTCTACCTGCAGGTCTCAGGGCACTTCCCTCCTTGGATCTCACAGCCCCTTCCAGGGGCTGATATCAAGAGAGGGTTGTCAACCCTGAGGTTTGTTGTAGTTTCAGGAAGGAGAGATTCTGCCTGATGAAAGCTCAGACCTCCAGTCTAGAGATAAGTTCACAGATCTCTGGTGGGCTAAGGCCTATGAGGCCAACAACCATTTATTAAGAGCTACAGAGTTCAAGGCCCTTGTTCATCTCTGTTATTATCTGCCAAGTACATGAGTTTTCCTCCGCTGTGCTCTGCGTGCCCACTGCAGCCTACTGGATAATGAGCTGGTTAGAGTGGCTCTGAGCTGCAGCACCTCTGAGCACAAGCACAGTTGGCATCACAACTGCCTGGCCTGTTCCCAGTCACACTGTGCCCTGAACCTTCCACCCAAGGAAGAACCCAGCCTTTGGGGTTTCTATAGGACTATAGGGCCCAAGAATTACAAAGTGATTCTAACCTTCACTCTAGTTTTCTTTCACCATCTCAGAGCGTCTGAGAGAAAGCTTCAGCCCCCCCCCCCCACACCCAAAGGGATTCAGAGAGGAAAAGAAAAAAGAGAGATAGGAAAACATTGAAAATTTTAAATAAGCATCTGCCTCATTATTGCCCAAACACTGACCTCAGGGTTCAGCACACTTTGGCTATCAAGGTGAATAATGGGTTGTGAAGCAAAAGTGACGGGTGACCATAAAAGCAGCTTTGCTGTCAAGTCCAGGCTGAACCAAAGTCTCAAGCTGGTGCTGGAAACCTCATTGCTACAGGCTGGGCTCTCATAGGGTGGTTGGGCGGTTATGATGCCTGGGGAGTTGGGAATGAATGGGCTGCTTCTTCCCACCCTGGGAACCGGAGGTGAGGGAGGGGAGAATTGGGGAAGTGGATGAATGTTAAGAAAAAAGAAGTAGAAAATAACCTTAAAATCAACAAGTTCAGAGACTTTTCTCTTCCAGTCTGGAGAGCAGAGAGTACAAATTGTCAGGCCAGCCAAGCAAGTGTTAAGAAAAACAGAATTATGATTAATTGGAAAGGGAGTTCACAGGTTCCCAGACACAGAATTCTGCAGGATTCTCCCATGGCCTTCATAGCTCTCACTGTTCTCTGAGAGTGGAAGCCTTTTCCTGTTCCAGAACTGAAGCACCTTCCCTGGGAACCACAGTGAGGCAGAAATAAGATAGAACAAGGGGACATCTTGCAGATCTCAGGCCCACGTTCCCCCACACTGGTGTCCTAGGTCTGAGGCTGGTGAGAAGAGGAAAAAGGTGGACTGGGACAGGAACCACATCTCGTGGGCTACCCAACTCAGCTTGGCACTGGGGCTGGATGTGGAGCAGTGGACCAGCATAGCAGTGGGCAAGCAGGGCTCTTCCCACCGGGGACAGGAGGCTGGGTTGTGGTTGTTGGCATCTTTCTGTGGTAAAGTAGATCTTGCAGGGACTGAGGAAAGAGCTGGGATCCCCCCTCAGGGGAAAGGGAAGTGAAGCCACCAAAGGAACCCCCGTGGGGGAGCTGCATACAATGGAGTCCAAGGCAGGGAGCCAGTTGCCAAGACTGGGTGTCTGGGCTGGGGGGAGCTGCAGCTGGAACTCTCTGGTGAGGGCTGGCACTCACCCCTGGCTAGCCAGATCCCAGGCTTTCAGAGCAGGACTACTTGCACAACCCCTTGCCAGATATGAAGTTTGTCTTAGTCAGAAACGCTCAGTACCCCCAGATTACACTCCACAATGAGGCTGGCAGGCAAGGAAGCCACAGGGAAGCTGGTCACATGGCTAGACAGTGTCCTGGTCCTGCCTCCATTTACAATTCTGAAACATCCCCCAACAGGCTATTAAAGCCTCTCTCTGGGGTTCTTTAATTCTGCCAGTGACTTCAATGAACCAGAGCCAAGTCATACCTCTCAGCCAATGTAGAAGCTAAAGAGTCTGTTGAAGACAAAGTGTCCAGTATGTTCCTATTCTAAAGCTCCCTGATAGATCAGAGCTGATGTGCAATGGGATTCGTAAAATACTAATTCCAGTGTCCACATTCTGATTTCCATCATGGCCACCTACATGCAAGAAAAATGAACTTCATATCCCAAGGAAATCCCCTTCTTGGTGACCAGATGATCTAACTAAAGTTTGAAAAGTTCTTCAAAACATTTTCTGGAAATTCTTAAATAAATATGGACTTATTTAACACAAAATTCAATGAGATGGCCAGTGTTTCATTTGGTTACTTCCAAATCACTGCTTCTGCATACAATGCACTTATAGGTCATGGTCCTTTTTGCTTGGCTGTGAGCCCTTGTCATTACTGATGGGCCACAGAGAGCTGAGCCAGGCTTTGAGATGTGGTCACTGGTAATTCCCGCAGGCCTCAGTATCTACAAAATCCCCAAATGATAGCTCGCTTGACAGATCCTGAACATTTAGGAAGCTGACTTCCTGCCTTAACTTCTATGTCCTTCCTTTCTGAAAAGATCCTCTGGTTCTCCTCTCTCTTCCAATCTTACACCTTCTAGGTGTTGACCCTTTGCCCATAGATTCTGTTTCTGGGCCAGAGCAGAAAAGACATTGCCCATCCTCTCTCATTCAGATGTTTCCCCTGTTGGCCATCTGAACAACCAGGGAGCCCGCTTCCACCATTTCCTTCTGTTGCTTTAAGATCCTGGCTCAAGCAGTTAACTCTGATTGAGGAGAAGGAGAAGAGCCCCTATATACCTGGGGAGCACCTTCTCTGTTTCTTATCCAACAACTGGGTACCTTCATTTACTCTTCTTATACCGTGGCCTACCTTGTCTCTTATGTGAGGTAAGAACCACAGAAACTTATATTGCTCATATTGATTAAAAAGAAAAAAAGAAAAAGTTGCCCATTGTCTTCTAAAACTATTCTCTGGAAACTTCTTTGCCTGTGTACTGGTGACTGAGCACCCAGTACCCAGTAGTGGTACTTTTTCTGGATGCTTGATTCTCAAAGCACTACGGAGGTCTCAATGGCCCCTTGTTACCAGGGGATTCAGAGAGGTTCCCTAAGTTTGCTTAAGACCACAGATGAGAGGCAAGCATCTCCCAAATAAATGTGGAAGGACATTATCCTGCATAAATACCCCATGTCTATGGCCACTCACTGGGCTCCAGCCACAGCAGTAAGGAGAGCCTCATCTCTCCCAATGGCATCAAACAGATTTGTGCCATGCTGTAGAGCTCTGGCTTCCATCCGCCACCTCAGTCCTCCTGTGGCAAGATAATTAGGAAACACCTTTTTCTGATTCCCAGAGAACAAATGAGCTGTGAAAAGAGATTAGATGAGGAAGAATTGCTTTCAGGGAGAAACCACTTATACTGCTTGGCTTGGTTTTTACTAATGACATCTCCTTAAACTGCTGTGGAGTTTTTTCCCCCTCGTATAGGATTTGCCAATCTTCTTGTGGAAAAAAACACACCATTACACGTCTAAAAATTTAGTGCTAAATATTTAGTGCCCATAAAGAGAACTTGACCTTATAGAGCTCTTTCTCATTTAAAATCAATGGTCACTGGTTTCCCATTCAAATGCATTGCCAGTTTGAGCAAACTGATTCTTCTTGTTTTGTTAATCTAAAAATGGAGTGTCAACATCTGGATCGGCATTGAGACGGATATATGAGCAAAGGTAGAAAGGACAGACCCAGATTGAGACTCCTGCCTCAGGTGTCATTCTCTGTTGGAAAACACAGTTCAAGATGGCAACAAATGCAGACAACGAAAACAGTATGGGTTCATGCATTGGGCTCATTCATTCTGCCCTAAAATAACTTTAATCTCTTCTTTATGTTAAATGTTCATGATCCACACTCTCTATGTAACAAGTAACTTCAAAATATCCACTTTATAATGGTGTATATTCATGGCAAAAATTGGAAAATGGTTGATATTATCAAACCCTGGGGAGGGGCCAGAGGAAGATGTGATAGTTAATGTTGGCAAAGGATTTCAGGACACCTCGAATGAAGACTGAAATTTTCTGTTGAAAATGCCATTGGCAGAGGTTTGACGGTGGAGTTTTCTTCTGCTCCAGTCACTCACTGACAATATTAAGAGTTCAGATGGACAAATTGGCTATCTAGAAGTTCCTTACTTAGACTAGCCTGGAAAGATATAGCAGCCCTTCAGGCTTTGATTTAGCATGAGAAGAAATATTGCTATTGGCCAGAGAGGTCGGAGGGTCCAATGTGGTCCTGTCTTCCACATCTCTCCAGGATCTACCCATCATTGTAACCATCCAGAAGCAATCAGCACGTGTGACCAAGCTATCAGCAGGTGCACAGTCCCTCAGTCAGCAGCGGGGGGGG